TTACACTGCTAAATTAGGGACGGCTAGCGCGGATAGCCCTCGTTTAGCTTTGCGCGAAATTCCAAAAACAAACAAACAAACAAGAAAGCTTTTCGGTACTTGAATATCATTTCTTTGAACTTTCAAACAAGTTTATTTCAACACATGCCCTTGTATGTTGTTTCACTATACCGAGAAACCTAATTGCCACTGCTGGTGAGTTGTAATAGCTTACAGAACAGGTGGTTTCAATAACACCGCCTAATCCTGTGATACATCCTGTGACAAGAGATTACCAAACAATACAGACACCATAAATTACAAAGAAAGTCAATTCATAGCACTTAAAATATTAGTCTGGTCACATTCCTCACATTATAGGCAAGATTTATGTTGGAATTTGAAACTTAAGTTCTTCATGTATTAGCACCCCATGAGAATTTCATAGCTTTATATATATTATTGACACGAATGTGTTTTGTCTGTCTCACGACTAACGTATGGGCTTTATTGTTGTCACTTGTACACCAAGTTTTAACACATATATAAAAGAACCGTACAAGAATAAAAATTTCATTTACCAAAAGAACCCACGTACAGCAAATCGTGAGTCTTCGCAAAAATCATTGAAATCTTAACACCATCACTCAGCATTTCATTTAGGTATTTCCACTTATTTTAAATGCAATTATATTTGTTCTAAAACTCATTGCACATATTAGCCATAAACAATAAAAATAATTAAACAAAGACTTTTGCAGGAGCACACAATTTATATTTTTGTCTATATGGAACTGTATTTATTATACATTACTGTGTTCAGTTTTATTACTTTTATCATATTTTGTGTTCTAGTTTCTGCTCAAGAATTATGTATACAATTTTCAATATTTCACTGAATAATATTGTTACGTATCCGTTTGTTAATTGATTTTTCCGTAACTTCGTTCCAACGAAACTTTAACGACACAAGTCTTTACTTAATAAAAATGGTTTATTCTTTCCGAATATAACTCTGCGATACACTTATTCTCAATACTCGCGCTAAAACAACACTGTAACGAACG